CACAGATTTTCAGTACTAAAAGTACCAAAGCAAGTCAAAACAAAACCCCCAAATCAGAAAAAAAAAAAAAAAAGCCATTCCAAAATAATTTCCTCCCAACATACACTTCTTCAAGGTAGGTGTTAGAAAAAATCAATGTAGGGGCCTTCATTATTTTGTTAACATGTGATGTATAATGAGAAAATGTAGCAATTCACTACCGTTTATTATAATGATGTATATTATAGTACCTTATATCTCTTTCCTGTTATTATATTGCTACTTTTTCTAGCTGTTGCAAAAGCAGCTGAAACTTCAGCTACATCCCAACTTCTTGTCCTGTTCCCTGTGACTTCTGAGTTTTGGAAAACCCTGCAGGGTCTTTGCCTAGCCTCCTGTCATACCATACAGAGGTTCACCTGTCCCCTGTGTCTCTTAATGGAACCTGGGATTAGTTTCCTAGAAAGTTATTCTTTCCTTCTCTTTTCAGAAACAGAACAGCCCTTCAGTAGAGTCTTGCTTTCTTCCAAAAGCTCAGCATCCTAGCAGATCCCAAATGGAACTTGCCATCATAGCACACGGTATCCTCCGTGTGCAAGAGGAGACTTTTGTTTTGCCCTTCATACCGACATTGCAAGGCCGTATTTGAAATGCACAGAGAAAGAAATTCTGGAGTCATGTCATTCTTGTTCGAGGTGAAGCTAGGAGACAGGGGAGTGTGCAAGTATGTTTTCTGTTCACTGCAACTCTTTGATTTCAGCAAAGTCTTACCACAAAGAATCTTGGTCATTGTGTCTGTTCTATTTTTGTGATTTAGAGCTGTTGGAGACTTTACACAGGGTAACTCCACCTTACAGTTTCAAGAACAAGTGTTTTTTTCTTTAATAAAATAAATCTTTAATTGAGAATTTTAGGAAGCTGGAGAGAGAGAGAGAGAGAGAGAGAGAGAGAGCAGTATATGTGAGAATCTAGACCAAAATCATTTCTGTGCATAATCTTAGCCGAAGAAGGGAAAAGAGAGAAATTAAGCTGAAGCAGATGGGACAGAATCTGTTCTGAGACACCCTGTGTATAACAAAGAAAAACTGATGTATCAGAGTTTCTTGGGTCCAGATATCTTAGGTACCATCAGTAAAACAGACAATTCATCTTCTGGTATTGGGAAATAGGAAAAAAAGATACTGACATATATAATTAATTATACGAACCTTTGCTGTTTGAGGTTTATGCGTATCACTAAGTAAGTTAGATTAGTTGTGTTTTAAATCAGACTTGCAGAATCCATTTCGTCATGCACCAGGCATGGGGCAAAAGTCTCACTGTGTGTTAAATACTCTAGGAGAAGGCTGGAGAGACGCCCATAATTCACCTCATGAGGTTTAGTTCTTAACTACTCAGCCTTAAGAATAAACTGAGTTGCACAATTTAATGCATTTGTTTTGTATTTGATAATCTTTATAATCTATATTTAGACATTCAAAGGATGATAGGCTCAAAAAATAAGAGCTTATGACAAAGAGTATTTATACTTTAGCATTATCACTAAATTCTTATACCACAGTTATCAAAGACTCCGAATAAAAGATATATTTATAATGTGAATTTTTTTGATATTCAAGTATAGTTAGTATACAATATCATATTGGTTTTATTAGTTTCAGGTGTATAATACTATAGTGATTTGACTTAAAAAAAAAAACTCCTAACCTGAGAATATGTTTCCATTTATCTTCAGATAGAGTGGGAAGGGGAGAGAGAGGATAAAAAGAAGGAGAGAGAAACATCAATGTGAGAGAGACACATCAATTGGCTGCCTCCCAAATGACCCTGGCCAGGACCGGGGACTGAACCATAACCGATGTACACGACCTTGACCGGAATCAAACCCACGACTCTTTAGTGTGCAGCCGACGCTGTAACTGCTGAGCCAAACCTACCAGGGCTGATTTGACATTTTTATGCCTCATAATGTGATCACCCCACTCATTGTAGTCACCTTCTGTCACCATGTCAACTTATCAAAATATTATTGACTGTCTAATCCTCACCTTTTGCACTCTCCCTCCCCCCTCCCTTCTGGTAATCATCCTGCTGTTTCTGTTTCTAGGAGTCGTTTTTATTCATGTTCTTTCTTTTAGATTTCACATAAAAGTGAAGCTATGCAGCATTTGTCTTTCTCTGTATTATTTCATTTAGTATCATACCCTGTAGGTTCATCCATGTTGTTGCAAATGGTAAGTTGTATTTTTTTTTAATTTCTGAGTAATATTTCATGGTGTGTATAGATAGATGATAGATGATAGATAGATAGATAGATAGATAGATGATAGATAGATAGATAGATAGATAGATAGATGTATAGATAGATAGATAGATAGATAGATAGATAGATAGACAGATAGATAATGTTCAGAGTAATATTTTTGTTATCTTCAAATAAATACCCAAAACAGAACTGCTGGATCGTGTGGTAGGTGTGTTTTTAGTTTCCTGAAATATCCCCATACTGTCATCCACAGCAGCGGCATCAACGTGCAGCCCCACCAAGAGGACACGCCCTTTCTCCACACCCTCCAACACAGGCACTTGTGGACTTTTTGATAATAACCATTCTTGCTGGTATCTCATTATGGTTTTGATTCATTTTTCCCTAATGACATCTGTAATACGGTCGACAATAATAGGAAAGAAAAGAAAATGTGGTTGAAATAGTATAGTGTTTTATCACTTGTTTATTTTTTAAAATTTGGCTAAACTAGAAATATAATTCTAGATCTAAATCAGTATTATAATATTTGGTATATAAAACAGTCTAATACATCAACACAATTATCCTTAATTTAGTTCAAGTAAAATGATAATATGTATATTAAGTGTGTTTTGCATATTATGTCACATTTCACAGCATGAAAATGAAATTAAGATGTTATATTTATATTGATTTATATTATAAGCCATAAATCAGACACAATTTCTTGTTTAAAATAATAAATGTATTTGGATTATGAATATAAATTTATCTAAAGTGGTTTTTAAAAGATAATGATATGAGAGAGTTTACGTGTACTTTGTTAATGTACATTACCGACATCTGCAAATTCAATGCATTAAAATGTGGCTGACTATTTCCCTGTGTACACGACCCAGTTCTGAAATTTAATTGAGGCTCACTAGTGTACTGTATTTCTGGCTTTTTAAAATAATTACTCTAATGTGAAAGCAGAGGTAAATTGTATTTGAACATGACTCTAGCTTTTGAAAGTAGAATTATGTTGTGTTTATAATGGAAGAGACTTTCTAAAGGAAATAACATTTTTTAAAAAAATCTAGGTTTCTCATTTTCTAGTATTAAAATTTGAGCTCTGTATAAATCTCATTTAAAAGAGAAAAACACAGGAATCCAAGTTGGCTCCAGGGTAGGTAAAAGCTATACCCACCGCCTCCTGGCACCAGACTTACAGCTAAATTTTATTTTATTTTTATTTATTTTTATTTATCAATTTTAGAGAAAGGGGAAGGGAGAAAGAGAGAGATCGAAACATTTATGAGAGAGAACTTCAACTGGCCGCCTCCTGCACGCCCCCCACTGGGGATCAGACCCACAACCTGGGCATGTGCCATGACTGGGAATTGAACCAGTGACCTCTTGGTGCAGGGTCGATGCTCAACCACTGAGCCACACCAACTGGGCATACAGCTAAAATTTAAAGCCACCAATCTGAATGACCAACTGAAGGACAGTTGAACAGGAATATTACCTACAAGGATTCCTATAAGAAAGTATTCAGAGACTGGTATGAAGGGCAGAAATGGATAGGGTTGGCTGCTGCACCCACTTGTGGTGGCTGAGAAACTGAAGGGATATTTCTCTTGTAAACATACCCTCTGAAGAGAGTGGGGTCTCAACTTCATGCCAGGACCCCCATACCAGTATACCTGTATAGCATCTGGCAGCAAAAATTAATGGGAACTCTGGTCGGCTAGAATTCTAGGTGTTCTCCTCAAGGCTCATTAGACAGGAGCTTGATCTTCAGTAATCACCTGGGGCTCTGTTAGAGGAAAGGTGACTCAGAGCATATGGGTGTCCTGAAAAAAAAGCTCTGAGTGGTGTGACTGTGGAGACAGATATGACAGGTTGGCTACTGATGTCCTGGTCCTAAGCCAACATCCCACACACCCTCAGGGGCCATCTCCCATGAGGGAGCACTTCTATCCATACAGCACCAGCTGGGGAGTATACTGACTTGATCCTCCAAATACTGGTGACACCAGAAAGCCTGCTGGATGTACACAACAGGAATCTGTGGTGTGCACTTTTTCTTGAGAAATAGTGTGACTTTGAATGAAGGCCAACATTGTCCCCCTTGTGTGGGTACAAAAGGCACCCCACAACTGAAAACTTTCTTGTAGGGTCTCTAATGGGGTGGCCACAGAGCTGAGGGGAGTTGTGCAGCTGGCTCCCTTCCCATGGGCTGGTGCAGAACTCCAAGGGAAGACTGCCTTGACCTGTTTCTACAAGTCCTGTTGGTCCCATTCACTTGGGCTCAGTTCTGTGGGGCAAAGGAAGCTGGGACCTCAGAGCTGGTGGCTCCACTGGGGTCTCCACCAGCGGTGGCTGTGGAACTAGCAGTAGGCGTGCAGCTTGCTCCCCTCCTGTGGACTAGTGCCACTTCCGACAGACGGCAACCTTGATCTGTATTTCCAAGTCCCACAGGCTCTGTCCCATTGGGCTAAATTCCATGGGGAAAAGAAGCAGAGTGTAGAGTTGAGATCTTCAGAACGCAGTTCCACTGGGGTTTCTGATGGCACAGCAGCAGAGCTCATGGGAGGCAAGCAGCTATACCCTCCAGTGGCCAAACTGGTGCCATCTCCAAAGGAAGGCTTTCTTGATATCTTTGCCCAAATCTTGGTAGCCCTGCCCTGCTGAGCTTGCTCCTGCTCCCGCCCCTGCTCCCGCCCCTGCTCCGCTCCTGCTCCTGCTCCCGCTCCTGCTCCCGCTCCCGCTCCCGCTCCCGCTCCCGCTCCCGCCCCTGCCCCTGCTCCTGCCCTGGCTTCCGCTCCCGCTCCTGCTCCCGCTCCTGCTCCCGCTCCCACTCCCACTCCCGCTCCTGTTCCCGCTCCCACTCCCGTTCCTGCTCCCGCTCCTGCTCCCGCTCCTGCTCCCGCTCCCACTCCCGTTCCCGCCCCTGCTCCTGCTCCCACTCCCGCTCCCGCTCCCGCTCCCGCTCCCGCTCCCGCCCCTGCTCCCGCTCCCGCCCCCGCTCCCGCCCCCGCTCCCGCTCCCGCTCCCGCCCCCGCTCCCGCCCCCGCTCCCGCCCCCGCCCCCGCCCCCGCCCCCGCCCCCGCTCCCGCTCCCGCCCCCGCTCCCGCCCCCGCTCCCGCCCCCGCCCCCGCCCCCGCCCCCGCCCCCGCTCCCGCTCCCGCCCCTGCTCCTGCTCCCGCTCCCGCTCCCGTTCCCGCTCCTGCCCCTGCTCCTGCTCCTGCTCCCGCTCCTGCTCCTGCTCCTGCTCCTGCTCCCGCTCCTGCTCCCGCTCCCGCTCCTGCTCCCGCTCCCGTTCCCGCTCCCGCTCCCGCTCCAGCTCCCGCTCCTGCTCCAGCTCCCGCTCCTGCTCCAGCTCCAGCTCCTGTTCCCGCTCCTGCTCCTGTAGTAAGGATAGCTGGCTACACCCAACCTGAATACGTGGTGCACTCTTTCTGCAGGAGCTAGTGTTAAAGTTTCCAGCAGAGACTGAGTGGTGTGGCTTTGAAGGAATGGCCACCTTCTCCACATTGAATACCTGAACATGCTGCCCCAAGTGGGGCAACCACTAGCCCAACCTCCTGACCTAGTTGCTGTGCCCTACTGAGCTCGAGCCAATGTGGAACAGTCAGTGGGCTGCTGCCAGTAAGGCTGACTCTAGAGCCTTTTTCATTAGACTCTGAAGGAAATCCAGGCAACCTCAGGAAGAAAGGGTGGAGCTGACAAGTGGATGCTGACCTCAGGGAACCTTGGACTTTAACTGATCTTTCCCCAGCTCAGAGCATCAGGATGCTGATAAACATTGAGGCCCACTAGACAAAGCCAAAAACAGTGAATACCATGGTAGCTTAGATAAATAGCCAAAAGCCAGTTACACACAACATGACATTGTCCCTCACTGAAACCTTGACCAAGTAGACCCTAAAACAACACAACTAGTGGTAAGCTTTAAAATACACAAGAGCTTGACCCACTAGTCACACAAATGGCAGTCAAAGAGGGACTCCAGCAGACACCAGACACTGCCAGAAGCAATTCCACCTTGGAGGCAGCCCCTGAGCAGTGAAACATACAGAGTGAGTGAGGTCTATCCTTACAGTCAGCCAGTCTGAGGATAACTCTACCCAGAATGCTAATGGGACAATAGCATTCAGTTCACAACTGAGCTCTGCATAAATCTCACTCAATTTTCCCAACACTATTTATTGAAGTGGCTGCCTTTACTCCATTGTATGCTCTTGCCTCCTTTGTCAAGCATTTTCTCCCATACAGCGTGTTGCCCTTTCATTTCGATAGTGGATTCTTTAGCCGTGCAGAATTTTTTTAGTTTGTTGTACTCCCATTTGTTTATTTATTTTTTCTTTGTTTCTCTTGCCCTGGGATATGTAATAGTGAAAGTTTGCTACATGCAATGTCTAAAATTTGGCAGCCTATGTTTACTTCTAGGATTTTAATGGTTTCATGACTTACATTTGTCTTTTATCCATTTTGAGCTTATTCTTGTGCAAGGTAGTAGTTGATGGTCTAGATTCTTTATTTATTTATGTTTAGTGTACCTGTCCAATTATCCCAACACCATTTATTGATAAAACTGTCTTTAGTCCAGCACATACTGTTGTCTCTTTTGTCAAATAGTAATTAACCATTGATGTGGATCAATTTCTGGGGTTTCTTAATGCTCAGTTGATCTATATGTTTTTTCTTGTGCCAACACCAGACTGTTTTTATTACAATGGCTTTGTAGTATAGTTTGATATCTGGTATTGTGATCTCACAACTTTGTTCTTCTTTCTCAAGGCTGCTGTAGCTATTTGGGTCTTTTTAGGTTCCATACAAATTTTTTAAATATTTGTTCTAGATCTGTGAAATACACCAATACTATTTTAATAGGAATTATGCCAATCTATGGATCACTCATTTCACTGATGTTTATTCTTCTAATTCATAATAATGCAACATGCTTCTACTTGTTTGTATCTTCCTCTCTTTCTATTCTCAATGACCTCTATTTTTCTAACTACAAGAATTTTACCTTCATGGTTACGTTTTTTCACTGCATTTTATTTTTTATTTTTCCAATGGAAAATAGGATTTTCTTTTTTAGTTTCTCTTTCTGAGGTTTTATTATTGTATAAAAATTGCTATTGATTTCTGGATGTTGATTTGTATCTTGCTACTTTGCAGAATTTATTTATTGATTCTTATAGTTTTTTGGTGGCGTCTTTAGGTTTTTCTATGTAAAATGTCATATTATTTTCAAATAATAACAATTTTACTTTCTCCTGTCTTGTTTGGATGTCTTTGATTTTTTTTCTTCTTCTTTGATCACTGTGGCTAGGACTATGTTGAATAAGAATGGTGAAATTGGACATTTTTCTCTTGTTCCTGGTCATTAGGGAAATACTTTTAGTTTTCACCCATAGACTATGATATTATCTTTCATGTTGTCATATAAAGCCTTTATTATGTTGAGGTATGATCCCTGCGTTTCTCCTTTGCTGAGTTTTTGTAGAAATGAATGCTGGATTTTGTCAAATGCTTTTTCTTTATTTATTGACAGGATCATGTGATTTTTATCCTTCATTTTGTTAATGTGATATATCACATTTATTGTTTTGCCACTCATGTATTAGGCTTGTATTACAAATTTAAATCACACTTGGTCGTGGTGTATGATTTTTTAAAATATGTTTCTATTGATTTTTTTAGAGATAGAATAAGGGAAAGAGATATGGAAACATCAATGTAAGAGAGAAATATTGATTAGCTGACTTCTGCATGCCCTCTACTAGGGGTCAAGCCTGCAACCCAGGCATATGTTCTGACTCAAAATTGAACCAGGACCTTTCAGTCCCTGGGATGATGCTCACTCCACTGAGCCACACCAGCCAGGCTATCTTTTTAATGTGCTGCTGGATACTGTTTGCTAATATTTTGCTGAGGATTTTACCATATATGTTCATCAGTGATATTGGCATGTAATTTTCTTTCTTTGTAGTGTCTTTGTCTGGCTTTAGAATTAGAATAATGTCGGCCTCATAAAAAAAGCTTGGAAGTGTCCCTTCCTCTTGGATGTTTTAGAATAGTTTCTATAGGACATATGCTGGTTCGTCTTTAAATGTTTAGAAAAACTCACCTGTGAAGCCATCCAATCCAGGACTTATGTTTTATGAAAGCTTTTTGAATACTGCTTCTATTTTGTCAGTTGTTATTGGCTTATTGCACCTTTTCCTATTCCTGATTAGTTTTAGAAGATTGTATTTTTCTTTTTTCTTTTTCATTTTATTTTTGTTACAGATGTTTCTCCTTTTTTTACGCCTTTGACACCCTCCTCCCCATCCCCCCTACCCCATCCCTGGCTTTGTTGTCCATGTCCAGTGGTTATGCATACATGCATATAAGTTCTGTGGTTTATCTCTTCCCACCCCCTTTTCTGAGGGTTGTCAGTCTGTACCCTACTTCCGTGTTTCTGGGTCTACCCTATTCCTCACTGTTATATTTATTATATTCCATATATAGGTGAGATCATGTGGTATTTGTCTTTTTCTGCGTGGCTTGTTTCACTTAAGATAATACTTTCCAGGTCCCTCCATGTCGTCTCAAAGGATAAGAGATCTTTCTTTGTTACAGCTGCATAGTACTCCATTGTGTATATGTACCACTGCTTTTTTATCCATTTGTCTATTGATGGACACTTGGATCCCTTTTATTTTTTCTTGATGTCTCATTGCTGTGGCTAAGACTTTCATTACAATGTTAAATCAGGGTGGCAAAAGTGGCATCCCTGTCTTGTTCTTAAAGAAAATGTTTTCACTGTCTGCCCATTGAGCATGATGTTGGCTGTAGGTCTTTCAAATATGGCCTTTATTATGTTGAGATATGATCTCGGCATTTATTGATTTGCAAATATTGTACCAGCCTTGCATCCCTGGGATGAATCCCACTTGGTCATGGTGAATAATTATTTTTATGTATTGCTGGATCCGATTTGCTAGTATTTTGTTCAGGATCTTGGCATCTATGTTCATCAGGGATATTGGCCTGTAGTTTTCTTTCTTTGTAGTGTCTTTTTCTGGTTTTGGAATTAGAATTATACTGGCCTCATAAAACAAGTTTGGAAGTTTTCCTTCTTCTTGAATTTTTTGAAATAGTTTGAGGAGAATGGGTGTTAGTTTTTTTTTTTTAATGTTCGGTAAAACTCCCCTGTAAAGCCATCTGGGCCTGGGCTTTTGTTTGCTGGGAGAGTCTTGATTACATCTTCAATTTCTTCTGTTGTTATTGGTCTGTTCAAGTTTTTTATCTCTTTCTAGTCCAGTTTTGGGAGACTATGTGTTTCTAGAAATTTGTGCATTTGACTTAGATTGTCGAATTTGTTGCCATTTAATTGTTCATAGTAGCTGCTAATGATCTTTTGTATTTCTGTGGTGTCAGTTGTTACTTCTCCTCTTTCATTTCTGATTTTGTGCACTTGGGTTCTCTCTCTTTGTTTGTTGATGAGTCTAGCTAAGGGTCTATCAATCTTGTTTATCTTTTTGAAAAACCAGCTTTTTGTTTCATTGGTCCTTTGAATTGTTTGTTTGTTTGTTTGTCTCTATGTCATTTATTTCTGCTCTGATCTTTACTATTTCCTTCTTCTACTTGCTCTGGAGGTTTTGTTTGTTTGTTTGTTTGCTTTTTAGTTCTTTAAGTTGTTAGGTTAGATAGTTTATTAGAGATTTTTCTTGTTTCTTGAGGTAGGCCTGTAGTGCTGTGAACTTCCCTCTCAGAACTGCTTTTGCTGCATCCCATAGATTTTGTGTTGTTGTGTGCTCATTTTCATTGGTTTCCAGGAAGTTTTTAATTTCTTCCTTGATTTCCTCAGTAACCCATTCATTGTTCAATAACATGCTATTTAGCCTCCATGTGTTGAAATGTCTTGCATGTTCTTGTTGCAATTGATTTCTAGTTTCATGCCACTGTGATCTAAGAAGATGCTTAATATGATTTCAATCTTCTTGAACTTGTAGAGACTTAGTTTGTGTTCTATCATGTGGTGTATCTTTGAGAATGTCTCATGTGCACTTGAGAAGAATGTGAATTCTGTAGTTTTGGGGTGTAATTCTCTGTAGATATCTATTAAATCCATTTGGTCTAGTGCTTCATTTAGTGTCTCTGTTTCCTTGCTAATTTTTTGTCAAGAGGATCTGTCCAGTGATGTCAGCGGGGTGTTGAAGTCCCCTGCTATGATTGTATTGCTGTCAATTTCTTTTTTTGAAGTCCTCCAGAAGATTTTTAATGTATTTTGGTGCTCCTATATTGGGTGCATATACGTTTACTAAAGTTATATCTTCCTTTTGGATAGATCTTTTCAATATTATGTAGTGGCCGTCTTTGTCTCTAGTTATGGTCTACATTTTGAAATCTATTTTATCAGATGTGAGTATTGCTACCCCAGTTCCTTTTTGATTGGAAAATTTTTTCCATCCCTTCACTTTCAACCTATGTGAGTCTTTTGTGGTGATGTGGGTCTCTTGTAAACAACATATAGATGAGTCATGCTTTCTTATCCAATCAGCTACTCTGTGTCTTTTTATGGGAGCATTCAGTCCATTTACATTTAAGGTGATTATTGATATGTGCTTATTTATCGCCATTTTTGTTTAGTTTGGTTATGTTTTTCTCCCTATTTCTTCTACTAATTACAGCAGTCCTTTTAACATTTCTTGTAGTGCTGGTTTGGTGCTAATATATTCCCTTAGCCTTTTTTTTTTTTTTTTTGCTCTGGAAGTTATTTATTTGACCTTCTAATTTGAATGACAGCCTTGCTGGGTAGAGTAGTCTTGGAGTCAGATCCTTGTTTTTCATGATCTGGATTACTTCATGTCATTCCCTTCTGGCCTGTAGTGTTTCTTGTGAGAAGTAAACTGAGAACCTTAGGGGGTTTCCTTTGTAGGTAACCTGTTGCTTATCTCTTGTCACCTTTAGGATTCACTCTTTGTTTATAATTTTTGGCACTTTGATTACTATGTGTCTTGGTGTGGGCCTGTTTGGGTTCTTCCTACTTACTTGGGGCTCTCTGTGCTTCTTGAACTTGAATGCCTTCTTCCTTCACCAGATTAGAAAAGTTTTCTGTCGCTATTTCTTTAAATATATTTTCTAACCCTTGCTCATTTTCTTCTTCTTCGGGGACTCCTATGATGCGAATATTATTACGTTTCCAGTTGTCCCACAGTTCTCTTAAGCTGTCTTTGTGTTTTTTAATCATTTTTTCCTTTTGGTTTTCTGATTGGTTGATTTTTTCTAACCTGTCTTCTAAGTCACTGATCCAGTCCTCAGGTTCCTCTACTCTGCTCTTTAGACCTTCCAATGTGTTCTTTATTTCTGATATGTCACTCTTGGTCTCCTCTTGGTGGTTTTTAATTTCCAATTCGTTTATTTTCAGCATTTCTCTGTCCTTACTCATGCTGTTGAGCTTCCTCAAAATCATGGCTCTGAATTCTAGCTCTATTAACTTGCCTAACTGCTCCACATTGACCTCATCTTTGGTGGAGGTTTCATGTTCTTTCATTTGGCTTTTGTTTCCATGTTTCACCATTTTGGTTATCACAGTGGACTTTGGAGTCTTCCAAGTTTTCCCTGTGGGTGCCAGTGTTGTGGCTCCCATGTTAAACACCACTGTCAAGTCTTACTTTCCTGGTTAGAGTGGCTAGCCCAGAAATGGTACTATTATCCTCTAGCTTTTTGCCTGGAGGTTAGCAGTCCAGGTTACTTAAAGAGTTTTGGGTTGTTAGTTGATTAAAAAACTCCCTCAGGTGCTCAGCATAAGGGGATTTCCCGAGAGTGGGGCAGATCCTGGTGGTTAGTGAGCCTCAATTTGCATTTCAATGGCCCACAGGGTGGGGTTGAATCTCCCAGGGAGGGGCTGCTGCCTCTCCCCAGAGCCCTGGGAAGGAGTAATATGGCCACCGTCCTGCATGGCTGCAACTCAGGAAAAGCTCTGAGTGCCCCTCCAAATCCCGAGTGTCCCCACACAGTTCCAGTCCAGTTTGCCCTCCCTCT